ATACTTATAAATATTATTTTTATATTTATTATTTATTCAATTTTTTAATTTAAATAAGATATTTATTCATACAAATAAAATATTTAAAAATAATAAATATACCCATAATTAATGCCCACCTAGGGGTGGCAATTTCCCCCGATCCCCACGGGGATTCCTGTCATGGGGACGGGACAGGGAAGAATATTCCTTCTTGTAGGGGGGGATGGGGGCATTTTCTCCTCACGACTTTTCCTCGCCCCACGGAGCCCCGCGGGGATCCCCATCCCCAAAAAAATTTAAAAAATGTATATTTTAAATTTAATTTAACCTTTAAAATAAAATCCAAACCCAATTCAATAAAAATTAAATTTTACCCAATCCAACCCATCATCCTCCTTCCAACCCTAATTTCCTAACCTTATTAATTTCCCTTTCTCCTCACTCACGCAGCAATGCAGCCATAGCCCTCACTTCAGCCCTCACTCACTCTCGGTCTCAGTCGGACAATCAAACTTTCACCTCACCTTCAACTTTCCTCTTCCCTTTTGGCTTCTGCTGCTACAAATCTACTACAGATTTGCTGCTAGAGCTATTATAGATCTGCTCGTAGAGCTGTTGTTGAAGCTGTTAGCTGCAGCCTGTAGTATCCCATCATCCTCCTTTTAACCCTAAGTTCCTAACCTTATTCATTTTCCTTTCTCCTCACTCACGTAGCACGCCTCACTCACTCTCAGACAGTCAAACCCTCACTCACCTTCGACCTTCCCCACCACTTCTTTCTTCTGTAGTTTCTTCTCACTCATTCTTATGGTTTCACATTCGACTTTCCCCTTCCCTTCTAGCTTCTACTGTTACTGATTTGCTGCTGAAGCTGTTGTCGAAGCCACACCCACCCTATTGCTGGAGTGGACTGCTACACATTGCTGGTCTACTGTTGCTGAATCCATTTATCGAAGCCATCTGCCATTCAATTGTTGGACTGTTGTCTGTCTCTTTTGACTGCTAAACTCTGTCTCTGCTGCCTGTGCCAGACTACTTCAACAACTGCTATAAGCTACATATCCAAAGGTAAGGAGTTTAATAATTTTTTTATGGTTGAATTAACATAGAGAAAGTTTGGATTTTCTAGAATTTACTAGATTCAATGACTGCTCATAGCCATTTATATTAGTGAATTGCCTAGTTAATTTTTACATATAGTCATATTGATATACATATAACATAGAGAAATTTAAAGTTTAATTTTATAATGACTTATTTAGTATGAGAATTTATTTTATATTTCAATGTAAAGGCATAATTGTTTTTTTTTAATTTATTTTTAGGTGATAAATGTCTAACACACAAGAACAGAGTGCTGAGGGATCATTTCAAGCTCCACCACCAATTCAAATTCCTAATGAATCAAGTGGTAATTTTATGGCAAGCCCAGGCCCCCTAACAACACCAACTTCATCTTTTGCTATGCCTTCTATTGTAATAGAAGAAGAAGAAGGTGTTAATGAAAATGAGAAGGTTGGCCATAAATGAGCATTGACTTCTAAGGCATGGGAGTCTTTTAAGAGACAAAAAGTTAATGGCACATGTAAAGCAATATGCATCTATTGTAGCAAAATGCGTGGTGGCGAAACTAGGAATGGAACAAAACACTTGCACAATCACTTAAAGGCTTGCCCATTGAAATGTACTGCTGACATAAGGCAAACTTTTTTGAAGGCTTCAAGGAATAGTGAAGGGAAACCAGAACTCACTATTGTTGTTTTTAATAATGAGAATGCAAGAAAGGAACTTGCCTGCATGATTGCTTTACATGAGTATCCTTTATCAATTGTGGAACATATTGGATTTAAAAGGTTCGTTGCTACCCTTCAACTAAGATTCAAGATGGCTTCAAGAAATACAATCAAGAAGGATATCATCAACATATATCAACAAGAAAAATCCAAAAAAATGAAGTTGTTGGAGGAAAATCAAAGTATAATTGCCATCACAATTGCCATCACAATTGACATGTGGACTTCTAATCAAAAGAGAGGTTATATGGTCGTCATAGCACATTACCTTGATGGTTCATGGGCTTTGCAAAGCTGAATTGTAAGGTAATATTTTAATTATTAAGTATTTTATATGCTTAATTATTATTTTTTAGAATTATTATTTAAATTATTGTTCTAATTAATTTTAATAATTTTTTCAATTTTTTGTACGTCCTTTGTCCTCATGCTACTGAGATACTATCACAAACTTTGCTTGATTGTTTGATGGATTGGAATATTGATAGAAAGTTGTCTGCTATCACAATAGATAATTGTTCTACTAATGATGTCATGATTGATATGTTGTTAGGAAAACTTTCTAGTGATTCATTATGGCTTGAAGGTAGCTTGATACACATGCGTTGTTCTGCTCATATTTTAAACTTGATTGTTAAGGATGGGTTAGAGGTAATAGGTGATGGCATTGAGAGGGTTCGGGATAGTGTTGCTTATTGGGTAGCAACAGCAGAAAGGGAGGAAAAATTTGAAGAAACTGCTAGACAATTAAAAATTCCAGTTTTAAAAAAGTTGTGCTTTGATTGCAAAACTAGATGGAATTCAACTTACTTAATGCTTGATGTGGCTTTGCATTACAAAGATGTATTCTTTCGTTTGAAACAAAGAGAGTCAAAATATAGATGTTTGCCACTTGAGGACAATTGGGCAATGGCAAAGAAAATTTGTGAAAAGTTGGTTATGTTTTATGAAATCACTGAAATGTTCTCAGGAAATAAATATCTAATAGCTAATATTTTATTCCCTAAGATTTGTGATATTAAGATTGCATTAAGGAGTTGGTTAACTTGTGGGAATGTTGTGATAAAAGCCATGGCAGCATCAGTGTTGGAAAAATTTGACAAATATTGGAGTGAGGTTCATGGAATTATGGCTATAACAACTATTTTGGATCCTAGATACAAAATGCAGTTGGTGGAATTTTATTTTTTAGAAATTTATGAAGATAAAACTCAAGAGGAAATGCAAAAAGTTATGAAACTTTGTTATGACTTAGTTGATAGGTATCACTCTAAGTCTAACCAAAATGAGAAAAATAGGTCAACAACTAGCTATATTCCATTGATGGCCTCCTCTTCAAGTGTTAATAAGGCTAACTTTGTTCACAAATTCAAGTCATTGCTTTCTTCTGAAGCTAATACTCCAATTGTGAAATCTGAGTTGGATACATATTTGGAAGAATCAGTGGTTCCAATTGAGACAAAAAACAGTCTTGATATTTTGGGTTGGTGGAAGGTTAATGGGATTCGGTGTCCTACATTACAAATGCTTGCTAAAGATGCATTTGTCATTCCCATATCCACTGTTGCTTCAGAATCGACTTTCAGTACTAGTGGAAAACTTGTTAGCTCACATCATAGCAAGCTTAATCCATATACAATAGAAGCATTGATGTGTCTTCAAGATTGGTTAAAAACAGATCTCAAAGGTATTAAGTTTATGTTTCTTTTACTTTTTTTTATGTATATTTCTTTTTTTCTTTAATTAAGTAGTTAATTTTTAATTTAAATTTTCATGTTTGAAATAGGTTCTTTGGATGATATATGTTTCTTTACTCAAAATGAGGATGTGGATTGTGATGAAGACAATAATTCAGAAGCAAATATACATGACCCTTTTTTCTACTAATAATATAAATAGTTATTCTATAAATATGTTAACATGAAGTATTTACTAATTGTATTGTAGGTCTTTTTATGAGCAATTGTGGATTTCGAGAGCTAAAGTGTTTTGAGTTAGCTCTTGGATGCTTCCCCTCATGTTGAATGTTGGTTTAGTTATTTTATTTATGTTGGATTGATTTTTGCTTATATTTGGAACAAGTATGTTGCTTTATGTTGGATTAATTTTTATTTATATTTGGAACAACTTATGTTTGGAACATGTTGCTTTATGTTGGATTAATCTCTATTTGGAACAATTTTATTGATTTAATTATTTATGTTAAATTAATTTTTATTTATGTTTGATACAAAAAATATATACTTTGTATTAATTGACGGGGAATGGGGATGGGGGCCCGTCAAAAATACGTGCGGGGATCCCCGTCCCCGCCATTTGTGGGGACAGCGATGGAGAGAGACTCCTCAACCCGTAAAGCC